GTCCTTAAAGCTATGTAGTCCTACCAGTAGATGGAGAGTTGGCCAAACCCGCCAACTTCAGACCGTGATTTTTTTCAAGGCATTGCTATATGTTTTAGACTTTTGAATATTAGTTCACACAAACTCGCACTGACACCAAAAACAGGGTTGAAAATACAAATTAAAATAATGCACAGCCCCTGACTTCCAATCGCTATGTCGTCACGACAATTCACTACGAACTGCGCATCCCCTCGCCCACCATCAGGTTCACCCGGAAGTGACGTTGTTGCAAAGGGGCTTTAGATATCGGCGCCAATGTACACGACTTAGGGACATTTCCCACAGATATTTGGATCGATCTATCTCCACGGGGAGTCTCACTAAATTGTTATCTGCTGTCGGCGAGGCCCAGTTAATTACGCTCTAGCTGATTCAGTAGGCTTGACAGACATATAAGCCTAAGCCTCTTCAGCCGATAGCAATTTAGCGTGAACCCCCAGGGAGTTAGGTCGATCCAGAGACCATTCCCAGACCCTATCGTACTAACTTTGGATCGAACTATCCCTGTGGGGATTCTCGCCTAATTGCAATTAACTTGGGCGGTTTAGATGTCTGCCACGCCTGCTGAGGCTGATAGGGGGCAATTAACTATCGTTTAGCAGCTTTAGTGGGCGTCATAGACGTCTAGCCGCTTGGAGATGGGCCGATCCTGTTAGATCGATCTAGGGATGGGAACGAGGTCTCACAGTCCTTGACCTAACATGAACTTGGACACAAGAGCACAAATATTAATACCAGTTTCTCACACGAGGAAACAAATAAAGTCGTTGATAATTTGATGATTAATATGACAAGTTTCTCCAGGGATTTTATTATTTTTTCAGTATGTCTGTACTATCAAGGGGCCTCGCCAGCCAGTCTGCTGCGTGTTGATGGCTTTGCGTCTCCTCTGTTCTCGCTTCTAGTAAATCAAAAATGTCTTATTTGCGATTTATTTATAATTATGACTAGAGTTAAGGACAAAACATAAGGCTCACATTGTCATCTGTTGCCGCCGAGTCGTGGCAAACTCCTGGATCCCCACGTGTAAAGCATCCCCATCCAACTCGGGTCTTCACTCAGTTGTCTCGCCTTCTGGAGTCCGCCTGTCGCCTCCCTCACCTCGTCCAACCACCTGGTCTTTGGTTGGCCTTTACCTCGTTTTTAAGCAACAAAACACATTCATCATGTCATCATCATGTCGTCGTATTCGTCACCATCACGGCTTCCATACATTTGCTCTAAATGCATCTTCACAGTTATCACCTTCATTCTTGTCACATTGCCGACTTCAGTGTGGTAGGCCTATCTGGGTTGACCAAATTGTTCAGTGTTTCTACCGGTACATTGCCAGCTCCACTGTTCGCCTCCTTCTACACTGCCGAGTATATTGTCCGTTTCTTTCTGTCAGAACCACGTTTCAAAAGCTTGGAAGGTCTTTTTTTATCGTTCTCGTATGGTGGTTGTCCGATGCTGTGCTGCGTAAAGCACGATGGAAAAGACCAATCTCCTCACTAAAACCTCTTTGTGGAAACGACTCAACCTTTCCCGATCCACAGATGTATCCGGCGTTGAATTTCTTGCCTGCAGCCGCCGGCACGACAAATGGTTAAGTTTTTCACGCTGTTTTATACATTTGGTTGATTGATGTTAATTGAGTAAGGACAACATTCCTCAGCTCGTATGCAAAGACGTTTTTGATGTAGGTATAAATTAATGGGCTTTTTTCAGTTGAAGAGCTATTACGAATACGCTAAATAATTTGTATATCTTTTTTTCGTTCGTTGTAGTACCGTGAATGTACTCATAAACACTCATGTGTGTGTTTTACCACGCGTACGCTTGTGCATGTGTAGTTGTGAGTGTGCATCTGCAAGGGTGTGCAAGTGCGCGTGGTACGCTTGCGTTTCTGAACGGTTAACTTTTCGTTCAGTACCTGGTCATTGTAGTTTACTTTATATGAAAAAAGACTTTGCTTATTATCCTACAGTTTTGATAATGGCGATATATTCAGTAAAAGAGCGTGATGCCGACCATTCAAATAAACAGCCGGACATAGGTGGACGCCTACACGGTGCCTGCATATAGTTCCAAATATAAATTGGAACCAACTGAAATATTGGACAAAGTGCACTCAGGAAATTTCTCCCTGAGACTTTTTAAGAGATGAAATAATTATCAATATCAATAAGCATAAAAATAATGAATATTTTAAATAATCAAAAGCCTACCTATTGAAACGGTTTGCGCATCCATATGACCATTGAGCCTTCACCGTCTTCACTGACAGTAATCACGCTTATGTCTAGCTAGGTAACTTTGCCCTTTTTATTGTAGTATGGTATACTAATACGTCCACATATATCACCATCATTTGCCTGTTGGCTTGCCGCATTAATCAACATGAACATATCTCTAGTGTAATCAGGCAGCTATTTATTGAGACATCAGTCCACATGCGAGATCCAGGGCAGCAGCATGAAATGGCGCGAGATCACGTCGTCTCCTGTGAACTTGGCCACGTGCACATTCTTGGTGACCGCAAAAATGCTACATGCGATTTCACCTTTTCGAACTTGATAAATTGAAATGGTCCCAGAACAATTTTAATGTTAAAAATTGATGTGTTGTCCTGTCATTTCTACAATTTCATTTCTTTTTTATATTTTTTGGTGAAGACGAGCAATAGCTGCGGCATGTATGTGTTACGAATAAATCACATCGAAATATCCATCTTTCTTTTTTCTCGATTGATCATCGTCACACTCTTGCACCGTCTGAAAGCATCCAAAATATAGGCCTACAATGACGAACAGAATTATTATACAGAGTCATAAAACAAAAGTCTTAATTTTTCCTCGTTTGTCCTACAGTTCTGGGCTTATCTCCGTTTATCCAAACACTATAGTAAAAATATCACTCATTTTGTTTGAAGACGCAGAATTGGAGACTGATCGGTTCAATCAGGTCATATATGCAAGGCCAAATGGCAGCAGGTGCCCTGAATTAAACATGAAGTCTTAGTGGTAGCTGTTGTCTATGACTGAACATGGAACCCGTGTACAACGAAACTGAGGGTCCGTGTAACAGAGAGTCCGCCTTCCATACAGTTATAATGGTTAGGGTTAACCTGACCTAAGTGGGTCAAAATCTAGGGCGAGGCTTAGCTGTACAAATGAATGGGAAGCGGACTCTCTATTATGGGGGACTTTCTGTCACGTTACATCGGTTTCCACAATGTGTTTGAATCTCAGGGTGCACGTGGTACCAGGCGTGACGGAATATATCAGGACTGATAAGTAGGGGCCTACCATATAATTATATAAGCGGAAAAGTCCTCAAACCTCTGTGTCAACATTGTTGGTCGGGACTGTGACTGATTGAAAAAGATCAGATATGTAATACGAGATAAGGAGTTTGCACAACCAGGTTTAGAATACTTTAAACAAATCTTCAGAACATTGTTGATCAAATAATCGTGTGAAAACAACATGTTCAGAACTGTGCGTCTACGGCCATGCTAAAGATGCATATAAAGTGAATTTTTTCCAGAAAAACCAACCAAATGCCAGCATATAGTTTCAAGTAGTATAACTAAGAGAATTACCAAATGGTATTTTTGAATTTTACCTGAAAATGATGTTTAAACGGATTTTTCTGCTAGCATTCCTGTAGGCCTATATCAATGGGGCAGAAAAGTAGGTAACGAAAGTAGGTTAAATTTTTGACCAAAACTTTAAAGAAAGGAGCAGTCTAAAGCTCTTTTACCGCTGATCGAGTGATCTATTCAGTTTATTCCTTCGCATGTCGAATTTATTTGAGTCGTATAAGGAACTAGTAAAAGTGGTTTAAAATGTGTCACTGGGAATCCACGCTCCACCGATGCTCGGTTCGCATGCCCTACATCATTTTTAATAATTTTTATTTTATTTCTATGGGATGCTATCCAGCTATTTGACGTCAAAGACTAGACAGACCTTGACTTCATCGTTCTTCCTGGTTGATTATCTTAGGCCTATACATTTATTTACCCAGCGAGGCGACCCGAGTTTTTAAAAAATCCCACTTATATAACAAAGCTGATCGCAGGAGCGAATCCAGCTAATTATTTGAAGGGAGGTCTGCGGATGCGAAGCCGACCGTTGGGTGTAGGGCCCGTTGAAGAGCCCAAAAAAGTTAAGGTATTTTAGAGGGCGAAGGGTTCCATTTGGTACTGTTTAGAACTAAGTTTCAGCTCGTCAAAACTCTAATTTCACAAGTCGAAGGAAGGTCCTTCACTAAATCCGTAAGTAGGAAAGGAGGTGACCAAAAATGCCTGCATAAATTATCTCAGCTTTTATTAACTGCCGAACTGCACTCACTTGTCTGCCATTATTTCAGAGCCCACTTGTTAATTTGGGAGATCTTTGGTTTTCCTTGGGCTTTCCCTTTAGCCTTTGTCGGTTTCTCCCGTTTTTCGTATGGTCTCAATCAATCTTACATTAGCTGTGATTGTGAAGGCCTCTTTGTGTAGGCCTATAACGTCTCAACTGACACATTTAAAATAAGTTACAGTATGTTCTTTTGGATTCGTTCCCAGGGTTTTATACCAAGTATTAGGTGGTCCACAACGGACCAAATTCTAGCACAAACTTTCCATTTTATTTCAATGCACCCACACAGAACTTTAAGTTCATCTGTACACAATCCAAAATTTGAGGGACAGAGGAGACATCATACGTAATGACAAATCGTGTTTTTAAACTACGAGTGTCTCTTCAGCCTATGTCGCTTCCACTCAATGTTCACTCTGTCGTCTTATACAATTAAACAAAAGGGGGTCATTCTTCTGTGAGTTACACTGTTCATTTAAAGACTGCATTCTTCCAATCAAATTAAATGCGTAGAGTAAACGTAAACTCACGCCACCTCCTGTCAGACACTCGTGCTTTCGGTCTAGCGGTGCATTGTGGGTACCATGTGACCACTTGACAGCCAATACGAAATTAGGTCAATTTTGAACAGCCGCCGCAATTCGAAATGTGATGTTTACGTTTGGATCAGCCGTAAAATTATAGCTTCCAGTTCAATTAAAACACACGCGTTTCATGGTTGTTTTAGATTCGAAAGTTAAGGAATTCAGGACCAAGTGGCCAACAGATTTGGCCTCCTGAGAGATTCAGAAGAAAAAGAAAAAGATGGCGGATTCCTTGTGCAGTACGAGCGCTAGTTGTAGCATGGAAACTTTGGCTGAGTCAAGGGAAGGTAAATCCTACTTTTGATTAATTTAGCCTCCAAAATATTTATACATCAAAAAGCAGCCATGTATGTGTATCTGTTTGTTTGTAATGACGTGCGTTAGAATATTTAATAATTGGATTTCAATAGAACAAGACTTGCTTTTTCTTGATGAAATGTCGCCATCCTCTCTTTGGTAAAGCCACTGAAGGCATGGCCTTCCTTTATACCTGAGAAACCAAATGACATGGTTTCAGATACCTTTGCTTCTTGAAACAAATACTTTGTGTCTCTTAATTAGAGTTTTCAATGATTGGGTTGATCATCAGAACTGACACCTGTCGATCAGTGAAACATGCATCTATTTTTCATTTTTGTAGAGAGGAGGAGTTTGGAAGAAAAGCGATTTGTTATTATTAATAACTGCTGTGAAAGGCATCCAAAACTTTTGGGAGCTGTGAAGGTACTGTATATTATACCAGTTTGAGTTATTGCTATCATTTTGTGAATGTAATTAATTAATTAATTTTATTGTGTATTTTTTCAGACGTTAGAAAGCTAATGTAAAAGATTAATGTCTTAAAAAGAAATGCCAATTTGAACACTGGTAGTTCCTCAGACTTTCTATACACAGCAGTCCAGCCATTAGTCGCACTGCCAGTTTCCTCAGAATATCATTGATTTTTTTATTAGTGGCTGTACAACTTCTTAGTATAGAATTTACAGATACTTTTCTTTGTGTTGCATATTGGATTTTGGTTTATTCCTATAAATATTAACCATTCAGTTTTTTTGCAATGACTCTCAGGTAGTCTGCTTTTGCCAAATTACCAGAATTGTAATCAGCCTAAACATTTTTTCTGTTATTTTAGCAATATGGCCTTCCCATCTTCTACTCAGAGAGTGGCATGGATTTTGCCAGGGATGCAGACTATGACACAGTGTTTGTAACAGACAATTTCAATGACGGAACCTACTTTAGGCTGAGGGGAGAGGAAGTCAGAATTGCAGGACCACCTGTGGTTATTTCAAGTGCTTCTAAAAAGGAGGTTGGTTTCACGAGTTGTAGATTTTATTTACATATTAAAGAGAGATAAGAACACAAATATCCTAAATCCTAGTTAGGTGAGGGATGTTGTTGCTGGAAATGTTAAAAGATTTTGATTTTGCAAAAATTGTTTAAATAATTTTTTTATTGTTATACATTTGAATCTGTTTCTTCAAGCAAGAGGTAAGTATTGTAAATAAGCTTTACTATTGTTTAAATAATAGTCTGGTTGCTGAATGATTAGGCTTTCTTTTATTCTTGGTCATATTGTGGCACAGTGCTCTCTATATTGAAAGATGGGTACGCGTGCCCATTGGGTAGTTTGTTCTCATATAATATATAAGTAAATATATAAGAAACTTGTTGGGTTTTGTATTATATATTCCAGAAATTTTGATGTTATTTATGTGATAGGTAAATTTTTGTCCTTTTTACCAGGTTTGTTTTGCTTTTTTTTTTTTGTGTGTATGTATGTTTGTTTTATGAATAAAAAAAAGATTTAAACAATTTTATATACCTCTTTGTATTTGTTTACCTTGTATTTCAGCACATCCCCTTCAGCTCCCGCCCTCTGTACTGCACCTCCATGCAAAACCTCATTATGTGTTTTACTGGTTTTAAACAGAAGGCAGAACTGGTGAGTCACAGTGAAATAGGAGACTTTAACTGTCAATATATATTTATATATACCCAGTAGTCTTACAAACATTATTGACATTTGGTAATTGGGACTGACAGTTAGCTTCTTCAACCTGAATCACTGACTTAATAATGGAAAACTGCATTTTCACGATCTGATCATATCAGTGTTGACCATGAATACCTCATTATTTACTTTAAACTGCAATGTGTTTTTTTGTTTATTTATTTATTTATTATTATTATTATTATCATTATTATTATTATTATTTCAATTTCCAGTCTAAGATGGCAGACTACGTGCACCACATGGGGGGCAGTATAAGAAAGGACTTCAGCACCAGAGTGACGCATCTGGTTGCCAACTGCACTGGAGGAGAAAAATACAGGGTACGTGGACTGAACCTTTATAATGCCACAGTCTCCACTGCAGTGGTTTAGACAAGATTTTGAGATTGGTTATCTGAATGTATTTTCTTAATGAGACAGCATGCAGCGTTTCCATAAACCCATCGCACTAACTCCATTGATATAATCTGAGGGGCTTCTTGCTAAAGTGCTCTCAGTGTAATCAGCTTAAATGTCTGGCATGATCAATTAAGCTAGTATGATGGGTTTATGGGAATGCTCCCTCTGCTACAATTTTTAAAAAAGTAAAAAATAAAAGATAAATGTCTAAAACTGAAACAGGGAATCCAAAAGACTACTGTACGGTTACCCTGGATAGTGGCAACTGGCCAGAATAATGGTAAAAAGTTGTTTGTTGTTGTCTATTCAGGCAGCGGTCAGTCTGGGCACTCCAATCATGAGCAGTCAGTGGGTCCAGAAGGCATGGGAGGCCAGAGATGACCTGGAGTTCTCTGCCACTGAGGAAAGAATGGTGGGTCTCTATTTATCTATTTATTTATTGATTTAAACTAATTTTTTTTGTCTACTCTGTTAAAGTATTTTTTTTTAGCTTGAAAATTTTTTTAATTTAAAATTTTTATTTTTAATTAAGAAATGTATTTTTAATATACTGTATTTCACTAATAATTACTCAGAATTGTTAAAGATTTGATGTCTAGTTATTTGCACAATCCAATATGGCAGTTTTTTTTTTTTTTTTTTTTTACTTATTTACTTGTTTAGAATTTACCAAGTATAATTCAAGTTTTTATTCATAATTTATTAAGCATGATTCTGTAAATGACTACCATAGGTTTTTTCTTGTGCCACATATTACGGTAAGTGATGTACACAGCACCACACATTTATATGATGATCTTAATCTTACTACTTGTATATTATTATTGCTGTCTCTTGTCACCAGATGGAGTACAGGATGAAACCATTTGACAACTGTTGTCTTGGTTTTCTGGGGTTTCCTGCTGAGGAGCAGAGACACATGGAAGAAGTCACAGTTGCCAATGGTAAGATATTTGTGCACAGGCCTGTAGACAACAATTTAAAAGAGGAGTTCTTTTACTGAAAAAAAGTGGAGCTTTTTACTCCCTGGGTTGATCTAAGTTGAGAAATGATTTAGAACCTAGATTGAATTTTGAGTCAGGTCAGACTTTTCCCTGGACAAAGGGGGTGATATTTTCAGATTTGGTGTACACTACATTAGTCATAAACCTTTTCTGTGTCACTCTAGCTCCAGAAAATGTTGTTTTTTATTGAACACCTGTCTTAAAATGTCCTACAGATCCCTCCCTCCTTTATATTATTTTTAATATGGGTTTGTAATAAATATATATATATTTTTTTATTGCAATATGTATAAAAACAGTTGCAGGTTTTATTATTATTATTGTCATTATAAATGGTCATCAGTGTTAGTCTGGTCATGCCATTCCAGGTGGTCGCCACGTCCCCGCTGGAGACTCTGACTGCACCCATCTGGTGATAGACCACAGTATCAGCAGTAAGGACGACGTCCCCTTTGAGACGCACCACAAGCTGAACATGGTGACAGGAGAGGTAGGTGACAGGGAGGATAATTAGGTATAATATGGGAAGCTGGGTGTCCAGTTTTTAGTTGTCAAAGTTCAGCAGTAGTGAGATTTTTCTGACTATCCTTAGATTTCTGACTTTTTGGGAGAGAAAAATATCTATTTTGAGATTGATGCAGTAGGTACCATGCCATATATTTCAAGTTTTCACTAAATGCCCTCTCATCTGTCGTCCAAAGAGTGAATGCCATTTGATTCCCCTGTTTTCATGAAGAAATAGTTGACTTTATGTTAAACTAATTTTAAATAAGAAGAGTTCTACTGAGGCATCTGATTCTGTTTATTTCCAGTGGTTTTGGGCCAGTATACAGATGGAAGCATGTGCTGAGGAAACCATGTACCAGTTTGAGAAGGTAACGTCAGACTGATTAACTTTTCTTAATTTTCTAAAAAATTCAAATATAATTTGCTTTGTGATTTTCAATTCCTCTTATTGATGGATTGATTAAAAACTTAAGTATAATTTAGCTGGTCTACCCTTATGAAGCACTTCTAGACTTGCTATATTGCATGATATATAAATGGATAGGGGGGAGGGGAACAAGAGAGAGAGAGAGATGCAGAAAGATACTAACACATCAGTTCAAATTTCTACACAGATTGAGAAGACGCCTTCGTCGGCATTCAACACTCCCAGCTCCGGTTCACGTATGAGGAAACGTAAGCGTCTGAAGGACACCCTGACGCAGCTGGCCTCAGACGGGGAGCTGGACTCTCCTATCATGTATCACAAACGACGCTCCAGCGAACACATGCTGTCGCTGAGTGCATCGCTCATTGATGTTACGCCAGACATAGGTGAGTGCGGGTTTAAAAGAGTGCGTTTTGATTTGTGGGTAGTAAATTACAGGTAAGTTGGGAAACCATGTCTTAGCAACAGAGGCTTAGCATGATAGATGTGCGATTTCAACAATTTGGTTGGAAAAAGATTGATTCTTACTTTGATTCTTACTTTCTCTCTAACTGTTCTTCTGTCTGCATGCTTTCATTTCTGTGTTTCTGTATCTTTCCACCCTTGTAGCACCGAAACCAAGCTCTTCGAAGACTTCATTTTCTCCTAGGAGCCAGAATAGATATGCTTTCTTCCCTTCTCCTTCCTTCTCTCCCTGTCATAACAAACGTCTGAAAGTCTCTGGGTGCATGAACTCGCCAAGTAAGGCAACGGTTTCACACTTCAAGTTGACCCAGGGTAAGTAGACCAATTCTAATTTGACCAGTGAGACACCTCACTAATCTATGAAAATAAAAGCATTTCTTTTTCTCCTGAAAGCAATGAGCTGCCACTCTCTCAGAGCTGCACTTGCCTCGGAGCTCGTTCTCTGTTTACTTTGGTACTTTTCTCATTGATGATCAAAATGGTCGTTTCATATTTTATCTCCTCTGCTATTTTCATCTGTTATCTTTAAAAAAAATGCTTTCATTGCTTCACTCTCCAAGTCTTGCCTTCTGTCCGCTAGATTCTTCACCTTCACTAGACTTGCTGACATCCACTGGTCAGTCTCCTTTGGCCACTCTCCTGAATGGGTCAGCTGTCAGGCCTTCACAGGGACCCCTCTTTAATAGTGTGCTTTCCCCTGTAGTGGACACCCACAGTCCAGTGGTCTCTGAACTGACCCCAGTGGCGGAACTGGAGCGGGCATTTTGTGAGGAGGGTAAGGGATTCACTGGAACAGGGGGGTTAGTTCCTTGGGGGTGTTCACATAGAACACATTCAGAACAGAGGACTAACAAAATATGGTGAACCACTAAAATGTTTGCTTGCTTGATTTTGGATTAGACACTGAATAGATTCCCCACTGGGATTAGGCAACAAGTATTCAAGTGGATTGGCCATATTTGATCCGTGGATCTGTTAGTCAGCAGTTCTGAATGCGCTCATAGGTAACTCTTTGCTGTCATATTTATTGATAATTGTTGTTATTTGTCTTGGACTGCTTTTTGTGTGCTTTACACAATTTTTTTTTGAATGATTTGCAAATGGAAATATCAGTATCATGTCTTATTCTGTGTAGTAACTTAAGCTGTCTTTCTCGTCTCTCTCTCTCTTTCTCTTTATCTCTCTACTCTCTTCCTGTGTGTGTGTGTAGAGTCCATCATCTCCCCTTCCTCTCCCATCTCTCCACGCTGCAAGGAGCGTTTGGCTAGGGAGCAGTCATTAGTTGACAAGAAGGTAACAGCTGCTACTCCAGGTAGGTAGAGGGAGCAGTCATGGTGTGTGTAAAACGTAGAAAGCTGTTGTTATACTCTGCTTTCTGTGAAAAGGTGGCATTTTGATTTTTGTTTGAAAGTTAGCTTTGAACTTTTAATTGATACTTAAGTGAGGAAAAAAAGGAATAAAGTGTGATATTTTTTTTCACTAATGTTGATATTGTACTGTTTGAGATGTGAAAGAATGAAAATTGCTCTCACGTTGTAGATCTTATAAGGATTTTGATTCCTCTCTATGTTAATCCTTTGTTACCCTATTTTCAGCCACTCCCCTAGGTTTGGAGACTGCCACCCCCGGGGCCCCCACTGCCAATATCAGCAAGAGGAAGCAAGTGATTATGGAGTTGCTTCAGACAGAGAACAACTACGTCGCCATACTGGACACTGTGCTGACTGTGAGTAGTTTGCTGCGGAATTCCATGTTTTTTGATTAAATTCTTATGGCTCCTGAGAATCTGCAATATAAAATCTGGGTGGGATAAATGTTCAGCCCTTTTTTTTTTTTATTTTTTTTTTATTTTTTTAAACCCAGCGCTATGTCTGTTATATTGAATGGGAACATTTGCAATAATGGATATGGTATTTTTATGCAATGTTTTTGTACTAGTGTGGAATAAGTGCTTACTTTTGTGAATTGTTCAGAGCAAGAAAGAGGTCCTGACTTTCTTTTAAACAACACCACTTTTTAATACAAAATTGTGGTCTTGTCTCTCAAGTTATCTATTTGAAAAAAAAAAAAAACAACTCAAAAACTATTTGTTTCAGATATTTAAAGAAAGGATTGAAAATTCAGAAAGAGGTCCTGACTTAATTCATGGATGGAAAAAACAATTATTTTCAGATCTTCAAAGAAGGAATAGAGAATCCTAACCAGCCGGGAGGACCCCTGCTGCCACCTACAGATGTGAAGCTCATCTTTGGCACCATCCCCTCCATATTTCAAATCCACAGTAAGATATGTGAGGAGCTGGCGTCTCTGGTGGCAAACTGGAGAGAGGAGTGCAGTGTGGGCGACGTGATTGTCAGACATGTAAGTTGTGGCCAACAAAGTGTAACTCTTTATTTTTTGGGGATAATATTCTCATTTGATTGTTCGAGTGGGATGATTTAAAGGGGAAGAGAGAGCATAAAATCATTCTTTATTTACAGTCTAACTATATTCATGGCCAAATTTGGCATAGATCATAATTTACTTGACTATTTATTGTTGTTGCTATGATTTTACATCTGGTAAGTAATCAGGTTATCCAACTTTTTCACTAAATGACAGTCTTATCCCTGTAAATGTGAATTGATGCCGTATTCAACCCAGCCAGTATTTCCTTGGTAAATAAGGCCAATTTTTCATCTGTCCTCTTTTCTTCTTACCTAGGCCAGTGAGCTAACGAAAGCCTATCCGCCATTCGTCAACTTCTTTGAGCAAACCAAGGCAACCATTGAAGAATGTGACAGGACCAACACAAGATTCCATGCTTTTCTGATGGTAGGTTTTATTATTAGTATTATTTTTTTTTCTTAATTTCTTTTTGCAAATCATCAAAACTGATATTTGCTAAACCATGTTTATAGTTTCCTTGTGTAGTATAAAATATTATGGCACTGGTTTTGGTTAAATATGTATCATGGATGAAAGTTTTCTAGATTATGTCAGATTTCTGGGTTTTCAGTCTTTATTTTGATCACCCCTCTGACCCCAGCTACATTTTCGGGATATTCAGTCTTTACAACCTTGACCCATATACAGGGGTAGTGCTGACAGTCTCCCATAATGCTAAAACAGGCTTAAATTTGCTTAACAAAATGGGGGTTGTTTTAACTTGTTTTAGTCAACTTTAACCATTTTGAGAAAAAGAAAAAAACATGATGAAAAAGTAGTGTTTGGCTGAACAAGTAAACAAACAAACAAACAAATATGCTTGTGCTATCCCAGATATATATGTAGATAAAGTTGTTATTTATCAACTCATGTGCTTCATTCCCCCAGGTGTGCAAAAATAAACCAGAGTGCTGCAGGCAGACGTTAAAGGAACTTCTGATCAGACCTGTTCAGAGGTTACCCAGTGTGGTTCTACTGCTGAATGGTGAGGTTTGAGCTGGGTCATGCTGGGGAAACTTCATCTAGGTGCTAGGTTATTTGGACCCAAGATCAATCTATGCTATCCACTTAAAATAGACATAAAAGAGACAAAGAGACAAATAGACTTGATTATATAAAAGCAATCAGTGGTATATTAATATAATGTTACTAAATTAATGGTTATTTTAAGAGGGATGATTATAGGAGCAAGCTTTGCTCATTTCATATTTTTTTAAAATTTTCTTCTTTTTATTGCAGATATAAAGAAGCATACCAACAAAAACTTCAGTGACTATGCAGCTCTTGAAAAGGCTGTTAATGCTCTTAATGAAGTTTTAAAGTAAGTTTTTTACAGGTGACCAAGAATATTGTAGCAAGTTTATTAAACCTGAGTCATGTTAGTCTCTGTTATAATGAAATGTTTGTTGAAATTGTTATTTTTTATTTATATACTGATTTATTTTACTTTTGTTAAATGGAAGGTAAAGCACAATGTGTTTATGACATTAAGATTGAGAATAAATCTGATCAGCGCAGTCCATGAAATGCATGTTTGTTATACACAATATTTTATTTTGGAATATATTTATTTATTTTTTCTTTCCCCCAGACATATCAATGAAGATAAAAGAAAAACAGAAGGTCAGGTGGCCATGTTTGAAGTAGTCAATGATATAGAAAACTGTCCGGTAAGTGACAGATTTTTAGTATTAAATTACTAGTAAATCATGCTGTGTAGACATTTTTTGGTGTCTTAAGTCTTTAACTTTTCTTGGAATTTTTATGTACAGACACAGATGTGTCTGTACATATAGCTGTCATCTGCGTCTGTCGTCGCCGTCGCCGTCGCCGTGCACTTTTACCGATAACACGATAAGTGGAAAACTGTTTTCTCTTTTGGCTTGAAACTTACAGAACTAATGAATATTCATAATACGCAGGTCAAGTTCGAAAATCAGCATGATCGGGTCACTTATAGGGAATTTATGCTGTTTTTTCACTTTTTTCAGCATAAATGAAGCACCGATAACACGATAAGTGGAAAACTGTTTTACTTTTTGGCTTGAAACTTACAGAACTGATGAATATTCATAATACGCAGGTCAAGTTC